TATATTTTTCGCTGCAATGCATTCTGGGTAGCGTCACTGCTTCGCCACATTTTGTTTTCAATCAACACAATATATTTATTTTGAATCAACTCAATATATTTATTTTGAATCAACTCAATATATTTGTTTTTTCATTAATGGGCCACCAGGCTTACAAGAGGATTTTCATGTTGAGCAAACTCAATACTTCTCCGTTGTCCAGTTATGCCAGAATATCAAGTTCAAATTTGTTACAAAAATGAGTTAGGATTCTTGTATTAACTTTTAATTGAGACCGACATGTTTAAAATGAGTTGCGACCACACTAATTTAAGTAAAACTGGCAAAAATCAATTATTGAGTTTAGTTTAGTATGTATTTTGAGTTCAAAATACTAACCACCTGAATCATTTCTTTGAGTGTGGGCAGAGCAGACATGCTGCACATACGAGCCCTCAATGTTTTCTGTCGGTTCCGCGTCTATCCTCAGTGAGCTCTCGCTGTCCAATAGGAGCGCCGATCGTCACACGTGTCAATATGTTTATATAAAAAAGTTCCCTCGCAAAAAGGACAGTCTGAATATGAACCGGAGCAAAAGAAAAAAGTTTGGTCCGCTTTTGATTCGGATCAAGCAAGCGGAGCAAAGGACTTTTCAGGTCTGAATACACCCTAAGAAATCATGGTCCTGGACTGGTTCAGCTAGTTACCATGGCAACTGTTTACTTGCATCAGTTTTGCTCTCATGTATATCAAGCAGTTTTAGCATATATTAAAGATAAACACTGTATGAATAACATAATTTAAAACTTTTTTTTTTTCAGAATTCCATTTATTTTAATGGGAGTTCAAGCAGTTTCAGAATTCTGGGAGTCCTAGCGTTAAAAGCTCGAAACAATGTATTTTGCTCCTTTAAATAACTACTTGTAAATGTTGATCATCAAATAGCAATATGCTTGTGTTAGATTGAACAAGCTCCCTCATGTGTTTGTGTAAATCTTTGATCCGTAGCACTGAAACCGCTGCTCGTAGCTTCACTGTAAAGTTAGCATTGCCCTTTGTGTGCTCACACATATCCCTATTTCCAGAGCGATTTTTCAGCTCGTTCACATTGTCAATATTGCTTTGCTGGGGCATTGTTGATGCGTTTCTTAATAAAGGAGATTTTTGGGTTTTCTTGCTCTTTAGAACTTGGGTCACTTTTGCTTTCCTCACAGAAGCGCTGGTCTAATTTCAGATTCCCCACTGGTTATAAGAACATTTTTGAAGAGTTTTTGTGCTGTGGGCTGCCAAACGCCTTCCGGTCATTGTGTTGCCTTCTCCACTGAGGTTAGATCAGTTGCCACATCTAATTTTTCTGCTGCGTGTAGGAGTAGATTTCCATGCACGTCCGTCCTCCACAAACAGGGGAATGGAGTCTGTCTCCACGGCCAAACTTGCTGCTTGACCCTAAGGAAGTTCAATTGTTTTTGCAATGTGTTGTAATAGTGAAAGTATCAATGTGAAACCAGTTTAGTTAAGTTTGAAATAGCATATGTTACACTTAGCCTTGTCAACTTCACACTGCAAAATAAATTCAGAAAAGCAACTCTTTGTTTTGTTTCCAATTCTGCAAGAAGACTAAAATATGTAAGTCTAGATCAAGTCCTATGAAAATAAATTCTAGTTTATAAAAGTAAAAGTATTAAAGTATGATTAGATTATTTATTTATTTATCGATAATGCAGGTCATAATGGCATTCAAAGATACATTGTTGCCAATCGGTAGCAATGTCCTTCTGCCCATTGTCAATCTAAAGTAAAGAACTGATCATGACTGATCAAGTTTGCATATTCTCCATAGGTTTCCTCCAGGTGCTCCAGTTTCCTCTCCCACTAATAACATGAACAAACGAGCAAGGAAACTGGATAAGCCTGGTGCCAGCTGTGCAGAAGTACCTGTCCTCCGTGTGCGTGAAGAGCGCTTCCGTCTGTGATTATAAAGAATACGTTCTTACTTAATTGGGAGTTAGTACAGCAGACATGTAAGAATTAGTTTAGGTCTCTTTACTCATGGCTTTGTAAATATCTATTTCGTATGTGAACTGTGTTTTTATCGTCTGATGTATGTTAATATCTTTGGGGAGACTATGTACACTTGTCCAGGGACTGCAGATGGAAAATAGCTTGCTTGGCTAATTCTGGTGCATCTACAGATATGTTTATTCACGTGAAATATCCCTGTCAAATAAACTAATAAACTAAATTATCCAACCTCGATAGAGAAAAAAAACCATCCAATATTCTGAAATACTGGATATTCTAAAATGATAACTGACCTCTAATTTGGCCTGTTGGGGTCTCCTGAAAGGTCACATGCAGTATTATCCCTATTTCTTGCCGGTTTAATCCACATATCTTTGTGGAAAAACTTTTTGACAGCAGTTTTTGCCGTCAACATGTGACTTGCAGGTCAGCTCTCAAGATTTAGTTGTTCAATTTTGTTTGGATGCTCAACAGCTTGGAATCAGCCTTCTATGGCATCAAGGCAAACAAATAATCAACATAATCTTAAGAAAAAATAATATGACAATGTTCATTCAGTTTTCATGCATTGCACTCTGTTTGGAGTGGCGCCCAAGAAGAATATCAACCAGTATACATCCAAATACATAAATAAATACAATCTATTTCTATTGTTTTTCTTTTCATACTGATGCATAATTGTTCACCAATCAATACAACCCCTACATATCGTTTCATCGGATGGTTCTTGATTGAAATACATAGAAAATACTTCATCCCCACCGCTGTCAGACTGTACAACATATAATTTTAAGTCACGAATGACCTGCACTAGGACTGGAGAACAAGCACTGCTATTGCCATTTTTTTAATCGTACATAATTATATCCTGCACAGATTATATTTTTAACCTTAACACACAACCTTGCACAATTCTGATTCTATCTATGCCAAATGTGACATGTACATTTCTCCATTGTGAAATCAATAAAGTTTATCTCATGCTATCTTAAACAATCCACTTTCTCTCTATATTTCCACATGCATTGGTTGTACTCTGGTCAGTAGTCGTCCTGTTTGTTGGGCATTTTGGCAGTTTGCACACAAACCTTCAGACCAGGTCACGCTCCTGTCTGCCCCTCCAAACCTCCGCTACAAGACCTTTGATATTCCCCCATAAGTTTCGCTAGCTGTCGGTGTGAATAACGATCCCACTTTGGAGAGAACAGACGCCCACTCTGCCTGCATATAAAGCACTGCGGAACATCTCTTCATCTGATTATGCCTGTCTAAATGATACATCAGACAACTGCTATGGAAATGCCTCCTCTGCTTGAAATTATCGCCACATATTGTTGCAGAGATGAGAATTATCTTTTGTTGGAGCTGCTCTGACTTGGGCTGTTTTACATTCGGAGTAAAAGTGTCTTCTTCAGGGCCGTTTGCCTCATTATAGCCTACCTCCGCTGTGCTTCGACGCTGCCTGCTCCGAGCTCGCATGGTGTTGCTGGAATGATGTCTAAGTTGCAGAATATTTAACATCATGTCGCTCGCTGGAGGAGTCGTCTTTGTTGGCAGTGTCAACATTTTCAACATTATTACGGCTGTGTAAAGGCTCTGTGTCACTTAAGCGCTGGTTAACCTTTAAGATGGGCTGATGTGTTTGGGGCTGTCTGTGTCACTTTGCTCTCTCTCTCCATCTGACAGTCTTTGTTAGCCGGGAAGGGCAGGTTTAGGACAAGTTTATAGCATCTCATCTTGATAGACAAGACAGTCGTTCACATTTAACACGTCGATTTCAATTCTCGGATTGTTCAAGGTTGGTTCAGTAACAGTTTTATCTGGATTTGTTTGGATTTACTTCTGGTTGGATCTTGAGTGATGGCACCGTGACGTCATGGTTACAATTTCTGTCTCACAATACATGCCATTGTGAGGGCTATTGTGTTACATGTGTTTTTCATTCCAACAAAAACACATGCAACCAAACTAGTTTCAAGCAGGACTATAATCAGGCTTTTTCACATCCGTATTGTGGTTTGCCCAAGTAATTCATCATATTCTCTTGTTGTCACAGCAGACTGAGGCAGACTGCCAGGAGCAAGGCTGCCAGTGTGCTCACCCCCACCATTCACCGACCCATTCACACATCCACATGGTCCATCGATTTGTTTTATGGGTACTTCCCATAAAACCACTGGGAGAAACAACCCTGAGGAAACCCACTGGGACAAACATGCAGATCACACAGAGAAAGGCCCGATCTGGGATCAGGGATCGAACATGCAAACTTCCAGCTGTAACGCATGATTTTTTAAGCAATTAGTCACCATGTAGATTTAGTGATATTTTTTAGAGCATCAGTGATGGACGGATCATTAGGTTAAAAAGATCGAGAGTGGAGTTTGCATGTTCTCCCCATGCTTGCGCAGGTTTTCTCCGGGTAATCCGGTTTCCCCTACCACTAAAAACATGCACACTAGGTTAAATCCTCCAGCTCCGGTAGTCCTGACCAAGCCGTGCATCAACATCTGGAGATGGGTTCCCGGGCGCCGGGTACCACTGCTCCTGACATAAGCCTTAGCGGCATCAGGGTGGGTCAAATGCAGAGGATTGAATTGCTCTACGGGGATCAATAAAGTGCACCTTTACCTTTAGATGTCAGATGAAGAGTGAGTGTATTTTAATGGGACGTAGTGTTATTCTATTCTGTCCGAACCAATTGGATGGGAAACATCAGATTTCCCACCCCACACTTTAAATGTTTGGGTCACTTCTGGCCTTACCTGCCCCTATTTTTGTCACAAAGGTCAGATCTAAACTCAAACTAATCCAGGACTTGATCCGGTCATATCAAAACATTTACCGATACAAACAAAAGCGCCTCTTTCTGTCCATCTGTCAGTCTTCAGCAATGATTGGGAGTCCCTCAAGATGGCCACCTACAGTATCCCCTTTCTTATTTATTTTAACAATTTTCACTGTTCTATTGTTTCTCATCCTAAGTTTGTTAACATGCATTACCAGTCCGTCTCTCCCTGGTGTGGGGGTATAGTTGGGTCCCATTGTCCCGGGAGTGCCACAGTGGCGTGTTGACACCTGTTCTCGGATGGGGCGCCCGCTGGGTTACTCAGAGTGACTGATTGAAGCACTCTGGGTGGTGTTCTCACTTTGGGGCTGCTGTCCTCTCCACGCTCGGGACGTCGGGGCACAAACCAGCCTTTGTTCGGGCCGAGACGTGCACCTCCGAGCCGGGTGTGAAGCAGAGCCATTAACAAGTGCTCCGGTCGGCTGTGGATGGTCGGCGTGGGGAGCAGCAGGAGCAAGGCCGTAAACAAATGGCTGCGGCTGGGTTCCATTTAAAGGCTTTTGGTGTTCATCTGAGGACAGGCCCGAGGCATTGTTCTTCAGGGAGAGAGTGAAGTGTGAATGCTCTGAGTGGGACCTGTGGGCCAGCCCTAAACTCCACTCCATTGTCTGAATGTGCTTTAGAATTGTGTTCAAACATGGCGCACTGTCACTCTTCAGCTGTATATTTTGCGCTAACTGGTGGTTGAGTGGTTAAACCAGCAGTATGTATGTTCTGTGTTTGTGTTTTCAGGCTGCAAAATTGTGAGTTTGACTTGCAGTTCAAAAAAAGTAAGTGAAGAAAAAGCGCTGCGGAGGTCTGGGACAGGGTCAAAGCAGAAGACATTTTATTGTTGATACAAAGACACGACCAAAGATTTGCAGCTTCCATGTAATTTTAAACCAGAGGAATCAAAGTCCTCCTCTTAGGATCTGCGATGGCGCCAATTATCTTGCTTCGACCTTCAGATAGACAAAAAGTGTACAGTGTGAGAATGACAGGATTAGATTTGACCAAAGTTGCTTCAAAAGTGTTGTAAGAGATCCTTAGTATGTTCTCCCTTCTGTGGAATGGAGAACAAGAGTATGTTTTGGACTTTAAATCTCTGCTATATCTGTACTAATACAATAACATGAACTGAACGTCTGTGTTCTGACCCACATGGCTAATTAAGCATCAGCGTCATTAATATCTCAAGCGATGATGTCTCTGCAGTCCTTATATATATTGATACACATCATAAAAAAGGGGTTGTCTTTTTTGTTCTTTCTGGAGGAACTAAAAAAAACCAAGCAAACAGATTATATGTGCGAGAGATTGCCGCTGCCTCTTTAGTCATTTATCCATGGCCTAAGTTTTTCCCCATGGCTTCTCCATGCGAATATTTTGAACTGAGTTTTTGATTGACTGCTTTAAAGTGTTGTAAAGGGATTTCTTTTTTACAATCTTGAAATTGGAAATTGTACAGCAAAATGAAACCGCATTGTTGTATCCCCTTGTGCTGCTTTTTCAATCTTTTGAATGGAATGCTGGCAATGATTCAGTAGTGCTCCAGATGACCCAAACTGGTTTAAAAAAAAAAGAGATAAAAAGCTCTTTAAATGATCCAACTGAAACACGCTCACGCAACACAGTGAGCACAACAGGTAATCAAATGCAGTGCTTTTTTATTCATTCGCACTAACAACGTGCCCCTGTTTTTAAGAAATGCTTTCTGTCCTATTCCCACTGCTCTGTAAAATTGGTCTGGTTCAGTTGTGTGGTGCATTATGATTTTTCCACACCCTTTTTCGCCACCTCGATTCACAACAAAGCCTGCTGTTACCCCCGAATGCCCCAGCAAGGAGGCTTAATTATGTGCGCGTACCGCTGGGATGCAACCTTCCTGCCTCTCCACCTAAAGTTCTCAGCCGTCTGCTAAAATTGACCAATTTCCATGGGAACAAAGTACACCTCCAATGAGATCAGATTGCGACTTATCACTCAGAGATGGTGCCAACACAGATCCCAGCGTGAGGCGGCTGTTACTCGGATCCTGACAAATTGGCTGCACACAATCTGTCTGCGGCAAAGGCACAACAAACATACAGAAAACATACGCCACAAAGAACAAGTGGGAATACCGGCCCATTTTAGACCAATATGCGACTTTTGATTTTATTTACTTGACATCACGTGGTGAAGTAATAGATTTTTACCATCTGACAGAATAAACGATTTGGCCTGTTTTGCTATCACACTGAATTTTGTCTAATTGGATGATCGGATGGTTGTTCTGCGCACAACAAATAAACATAATACTGTACATAGCCATTAGTGTGGCATATGCTTTACTAATTGCAGGATTACTTTCACCAGCAAAAGTAATGGTGGCGCAGTGGTTAGTGCTTGTACTTTGAAGCCACCTCCAGGCCTTTCTGTGTGGAGTTTGCGTTTCTGCGTAGGTTTCCTCTGGGTGCTCCGGTTTCCCCTACTTCTAAAAACATGTACAATATGTAATATGGGGAGGCAGTATTTATGATGTATCCGGGTTTCTTCTTTGTTCAAATCCAGGGTAAAAACACTTCACTCTACTGTGATTATTAATGCCTTGTATTGATTGTTTTGTATTTTGTTAGGCACTTTGTGTATGAACTGTGCTATAACTATAAACGTGCCTTACTTCAAACAATGGTGCTGATCCATGATATTGTAGAGAAGTGATATGGATGGTGTTTTAGAGACTGGATATCTCATTCCTCTATATCTTCCAAAAGCAACAAAATCCTCTTTAACAACTCCATGCCAAGAATTCTAATGAACCTGGCTCCCCCGTGCACACTTGTGAACCCAACACATCGGTCCGCGCGGCGCTGTCCAGCTCTTGTTTAGTCGAAAACCGTATGCTCTGCGGAGTTGCCATCCAGGGCCAGTCGCTCTCTACAGGAAGCGGCATTGCTAACGAAGTGGTAAATTCAGTGTTAATGAGTGGCTTCACTGTTAGCACCTCAGAGGTAAAAGCGTATTCCTTCCATCTGTCGCGGTGTGAGAGGTTGGAAAAGGGGGAACAGACGCGCCGCATTTAAAAGCCAACTCCAGTGTTAGCCCCAAACGGCGGGGTGCAAGCAAAAACCACCAAAATACCTTTTCTCCTTCCTCCATGTGCAAGCCTCATTAGCAGCCCACTCGCACACACCAATACCATTTCTATAAATACATCCAACGCAACAGAAAAGGCTTTTTAAAAATGTATTCCCTTCTATTTACTTCGCTTAGTCGATGTTAAAAGGCGGACTTTGCCTTGCCTGGAGATATTTACCGGGATTATAGGCTTTAATGCACTTAAGCTGTGTGCACAAATCAATCCGAACCAGCCAAGTCTGCATTTTTCCCTTGACTCTTTGCACTGTTTGAAATAAGAAATTCTACACTGATGAGATGGGTGTTATTCTCCATTGTTTTAAAGAAACTCCATGGTTGGATGGATGGTTGTCAATGGTTGATATAAGATTAACTTTAGTGATCTCTTATGGAGTTCCACGTCGTCTGTGTTATGAAAAAAGTTGTCAGTATAGTGTAAGGACAGGACAGTCGACATTCAACATCTGTAGACATTGATGTTGATTCACATTAGTGTGTGTTTTTATCATTGCCTTTCTTGTGTGTGAACTGTTAGATTCTCTGATCGGTTGTTAACAAATTCGAAGGTTTTGTAAAGGCCTCCGAGATAACTACTGTTGTTATTTAGGCCTATACCAGGACAAATAGAAATTGGGTAAAAGGATTCCTCATTGGGATTTATTAAATTGGTATTTTGACTATTACTGGGAGCTCATTAAATTATATACTACAAAAAAACAAACAAACAAACAAGAAATCCCACTTCACTCTTTGCTTTCAGGACTACAATATGGACAGTGATTATAGAAGCCATCATGTGTGCTACAGATAATTGTACTTTTTTCTAAGGAAAGGATTGCCAGTTTATCCCTGACTAACAATGGCATTCAAGTTTTTTATAGGCACATCATTGGGAACCACTCATTAAGGGTTGACTGGTAACTGCTATGACAGTGTCAATATTTGTTACATGGTGGAAAGGAGGGCGGACCCAAAATTCAATACTGCAAAAAACATAATTTAATAACCAAGAATCCAAAAATCAAAAACTGTATAAACATAGGAACTGAAGACGAACCAAGAACAAACAATCAATGGACTGACAACAAGAGTGAAAGAGCACAGGGAATTTAACTGAGAGACACAGGTGAAACAAATCAGGGCAGGGCAGGGAATCAACAGAACAGGAAGTAAAACTCTAAAAAAAACACAGGGGAACAGAATTACAAAATGAACAGGAACCAAAAGTGATAACCATGACAGTACCCCCCTTCCAAGGGACAGCTTCCATGATGTCCCAAAGAACGAGTCCAGGATTGTGAAGGGGGTCTGGAGGAGGGAAGCCAAAGGATTCCTGCTGTGGTTGCAAAACAGGCGGCACATTAGCAATCCAGTCCAGTGTTGACCTCCCACAAGGCCAGGGGAACAAGGGACCACCCCGAACGGAAAACCATGATCGGCGATGGCTCAGACATGAAGGAGGACAGAAGAGCTCCCCAGACGGAGATCTAGTCAGGCGGAGGCTCCAGGGAAGGTGTAGTGGGAGGTCCCCATGGGCAGAAGGCATGGGTGAAACAAACCACCTGGTATCTATGGCAGACAGATACGTGGCTACTTCTGGTAGGTGCTCCAAGAGTAGTTGGTGTCGAGCTGGAGCCCGGTGTTGACCACAAACAAGGGTCTAGGAAACAGGACCATCCCGGGCGGAAATCAATGTCCGGCGATGGCTCAAACACGGAGACAGGACCACCCCAGACGGAGAAACTTGCCTGGCGGTGGCTTCAGGAAACAGAGGTTCAGCACCGGGCAGCAGATTCACAAGGCACTAGTGAACCAAGGACCAGGTGTAGAAAAAAAATATAAAAATAAAATGCAGTATGATGAGTCCAGGTGTGGTCAGTCCATTCTGTTACATGGTGGAAAGGAGGGCGGACCCAAAATTCAATACTGCAAAAAACATAATTTAATAACCAAGAATCAAAAAATCAAAAACTGTATAAACACAGGAACTGAAGACGAACCAAGAACAAACAATCAATGGACTGACAACAAGAGTGAAAGAGCACAGGGAATTTAACTGAGAGACACAGGTGAAACAAATCAGGGCAGGGCAGGGAATCAACAGAACAGGAAGTTAAACTCTAAAAAGACACAGGGAACAGAATTACAAAATGAACAGGAACCAAAAGTGATAACCATGACAATATTAATATCAAATTCAAACTGTAAACACCTATCGGAGAATTTTGTCTCCATAAAAAGCCATCTTGGTAAATTAACCCAATTAAAAAGAAATTAATGTATGTATATGATTTGCATAGTTATTTCAGCTCCATGCTATGAACGGCTCAATCACAATGGATTGACATACACCAGTTTGGAGGGTGATTATGCAGCGTGGATCAGCCCTAT